GGCCAAGCTGGAGGCCTCAGAGGCCTTCTTGGTGCTCTCTTGGAGCCCTCTTGGGCTCTTGGGACGCTATGGGGGCCTTTTTGGAGGCGTCGGTGGGCCTCTCGAGGCCATCTTGGAGGCCTCTTGGGCCCCCCTGGGGCTCTCTTGGGGCCCTTGTTGTAGCGCTTTTGGGGCTGTTTCGGAGCCCTCCTGGACGCCTTGAGGCTTCTCTTGGGGCCATCGGCCAAAGAAACAAAACATGGAACACGTAAATCATGTGAAGTAAAAGCAACATCATTCAACATAAACCCCAGTAATTGCTCAGCCATGGGGTTTTATGGACTAACACATTGATCTGATTGTTTGAGTTGCTCTTTCAATGGTTTTAGTGTTCGTTTTGGTGCAAGAGACGTTTGCCATTCAGCAATGGCGTAGTTTCCGGGCGCATCTCGTCACTACAGCTTACACAGTACTGCTTGTCGTTTCTTAGGGGTGAAAGATAGTAATGGGGAAAAACAGCGAGGGCGAAAGGTACGCCATGGCTGAAAATCGGGCAGTGGAGCAACAACGCATTCAATATTCGAAGTACTTGCACAAAGTTGATATTAATTATCGAGCTGCCCTTCATTGTTACAGTTGGATCCTCGCACGATATTTTTCAAGTGATATTCGTGGTAAGTATTGGGGCCAGATTAGTTCCGGAATTCAACTTCGAGGTTATAAAGGGCCAAATAGTGGAATGAAGCGTGTAGTGGACGATATACCAGTCCCATGGCGTAATGTAATTTCATTGATGAGCCATAGAGTGCCAACCCTGGACTACCATTGCATGCAGCAGTTTTGTGAGGAAGGATGGCATTTGGAAGGGGCCCCTCTCGTTGACTACTCTTCATATGCAGCGTTAGCAGCCCAGAATCGATATCATGACGTGACCCGTTTGGGAGATAAGAAGTGGACTTTGGTTCAGAGTAGTTATCTCGGTACAGGTTCATTGTTTTTAAAGACTGTAGTTTTGGTTGAAGCCGAGGAGCGCCCCTGCGAGGCCGTCAAGGTTGGCGTTCTCATCGAAGGCGTCGTGCGCCCGTTGGCCCTGGGTGGCTACCGCGACGCCGCCGACGCGACGCCCGCGGCCCTGCTCTGGGAGGGCGGGCAGGCTTCGGACCTGCCACCTCCCCCCGACGGCAAGAACGCGACGGCCTGCCTCTGCGAGCACCGCGAGCAGGTGTGCGAAGCCGCGAGGATCGGGGGCAGATGCTTGATTGTCACCTGCTTCCATCAGGCCGTCGGGTCATCGGCCGGCGCCCCGCTCTGCCTCGCGCGCCTCGGCGGCGAATCTGGGCGAGCCGCGGGGCGGCCAGCCGCAGCGGCTAGCCCCCCCGGCGGGATGTTCGCTGGCATCAGGCGTCGCGTCGCCAGCGGCGGAAGGAGCCCGGGGGTGCAGGCCCGGCAGCCCCGACTGACGCCGGCTACAGCGCGCCCCCTAGGCGCGGCTCGCCCGCGCCGGCAAGTGGGCTCCAGTCCGCGCGCTTTTCGAGTCACCGACAGCGCCCGTGCCGGCGCCAAGCCCCGACGGTCTCGGCCTCGGCGATCGATCTCCCTGCCCTTCCGGTCCCTTTTAAAAATAGAGCATCTACTATAAAAATAGAGAATGGGCCACACCCACTATTTTACATGCTGAGATTCGTTACACAAGCTAAAATAGGGGATCCTCTATTTTATGCTACGCCACTTTAACCTCCATACATCGTGCATATTTGTTTGGGGGCTAAGCAACGTCTCGCGTGACAGTAACCCTCCCAGACAGCGGTGGCCATGCGCTAACGGCCTGACCTCATGGGGTCGGCGGCCTAGCTCACGCGCCGTTGACCCTCGCTGAGGTCGGCGGACTCACGCGCCGTTGGCCTTCAAAAGGTCGGCGACCGAACTTGCGCGCCGTTGGCCCTCAATGGTGTCGGCGACCTAACGCGCCGTTGCCCCTCGATTGGGTTGGCGGCATTGCTCACGCGCCGTTGCCCTTGAAATGGGCTGGTCAACCTGACGCGCTCTTGGCCTTCAGAGGGGTCGGCGAACTCACAAGCCGATGGCTCTCAAAAGGGTCGGCGACCGCACTCGCCGTTGGCCCTCAAAGGGTCGGAGAGTGGCACGCGCGCCGTTGGGCCTCAATGAGGTCGGCGACCCAGCGCGTCGTCGGCCCCGTCATGAATCACGCGCCGTTGGACCTCGAACAAGTCGTTGATCTTGCGTGCCGCTGGCCCACGGCAAGTCCGTGATCCGACGTGCCGTTGGCTCTCGCCAGGGTCGGCAAATGAAAGTGAAGTTGGCCCTCAGTGGCCATGGATTCGCGGTGGCGTCTTTGGGGTTCCTGGCCAATTGTTTTTTTTTTTTTCTGGGGGGGGGCCTTGGGCTCGCCTTGGGGAGTCTTGGGCAGATGTCGCCCTCAAGGGCTTGTCTTGAGTTGTCTCGGGCTCTTCTTGAAGCGATGCCTGGGCCGTCTTAGGGCCTTCTGATGGGGCATCCAGATTGTTGTCGCCCCCGTTGCTATGTGGCTCAATCCAGATTTTAGCGGCATCTTGTGATGTCAACCTCGATCGAGTGCTCCATCTGCCAAGAGCCTCTG